AGTTGCGCCTCTGCTGCTGCTGACAACCTAAAACCAAGGTTTTTTTTTAATTTTGGGTTTTAAAACCTAAAATCGGGGGGACCAAAAATTTTTAAGGGGGAAAATTACTGTTGGGGGGGATTTTAAAAGAAAAAGGGGCAAGGGGGGTTTACCCTTTTCTGTTTTTGGGGAAAACTTTACCCCTTTGACTTTTTTCGATAAATCTAGAGGCTTTAAAAAAAGGGAAAAATTTTTAGGCCCAAAAAGGAGGAAACGGGGGGCATGTGAAAAAAAATTTCCGTGTGTCATTGAAAAAAAAAAACCCCCTTTTTTTGGAAAAACGCGTTTAGGTGTTTTTTATATTTTTTTTTATTTTTTTTTTTTATTTACAATTGGAAAAAATTTTAAAAAAGAAAATTTTTTACAAAAAAAAAGTTGATTAGTCAAAACAAAGCCCTGTTAGTAAACAAGCCCCCCTTCCAATTGGGGGGAAAGGGGGAAATTTTTTCACTCACTGATTTTTATAATTTTACAATAAAGATATTTGATCATTTTAAAATTTTTTTTTTGGATAATAAAAAAAATTTAAAAAAATAAATGAGGGGGAAGAAAATGGGGGCTAAGAACAGAGGATGTTTTTTAGTGCCCAAAAATGTCTACATTGTTTATTCTGAACCTTATTTTGAAATAGGCATCTTTTTTAATTTGCGTGAAGTTGGCCAAATTGCCAATTTCTGACCACTTTATTGGGTAGTTCAAATCGGTAAATGGGAGGTTTCTTGTACTCAACTGATAGAAAAAATGGAGTTCTAAAGAAATAGCCATGAGTTTGGTCAACTGGAGCAATGGAATTGCCCAAAAACAGGTCTTGAAGTCAGCGTAATCGCCGATGCGTATATGTTGCCGAGACCACTAACTTCGCGGGAGCGTAATTCCGTGAGTTTTCGAAGAAATTTCGTACTTTTGGTGTCATTACCATCAGGAAAAGATTGTATCATTTCATAAGTTTTTTTTTTTTTTTTTTTTTTTTTTTCCAAAAAATTTTGCGACATAGAATGACGGTTTCAGAAAGGGGCTTGCGACAGTCAAAGGGTTAATTGAACTATGTAGAGAAAGAGGTTTGGTAAATTTATCGTATTTAACCCTTTAACTGTCCAAACGTAGATCTACGTTCACCCGCCCAGCACTCCAAATAATTTTTTTTTTTTTTTTAATGAGGGCATTATTCTACATGTTATAAAAAAATTAGGATCAGTACTTACCAAGATATAAGCCTGCGAAGTTGGCACTGGATGCTCACCTGTCAGCAACATGGAGTCCTGCTTCTAGCACAGTGTTGCTGATAAACCTTGTTCTCTTTTTTATATTATTTTATATAATATTTATGTTCTGATAATTACAGTTTATAGTAGTTCTTGTGATTTCATAGCCAATCTTTGTTCTGACACTAATATTAGGTACTGAAATTGTACTGTCACACACACTGACAGGTGAACATTTTCACCTGCCTTGGTCATTTACTATTGGCTAGAAATACATACAAAATACTTATAGGTCCCAGCAATGTTTTAGACACGCTGGAGTACCTATGAGACTCCTTGAAGCATGGTGTAAGACTGAGTGTCACTAAACTGCTGACAGTGCAGTAGTGGTTTGACACTTGATAACTGTGCATTGCTGCAGGGAACCCCTGACTGTGTTTTCACTGTTACACACAAACATTTCTGTCTGCTTATGTCTTTGTCTGCCTGCCTGTGTGTGTGTGTCTGTGTCTGTGTCTGTGTGTGTGTGTGTGTGTGTGTACTCACCTAGTTACTCACCTAGTTGAGGTTGCGGGGGTCGAGTCCGAGCTCCTGGCCCCGCCTCTTCACTGATCGCTACTAGGTCTCACTCCCTGAGCCGTGAGCTTTATCATACCTCTGCTTAAAGCTATGTATGGATCCTGCCTCCACTACATCGCTTCCCAAACTATTCCACTTACTGACTACTCTGTGGCTGAAGAAATACTTCCTAACATCCCTGTTGATTCATCTGTGTCTTCAGCTTCCAACTGTGTCCCCTTGTTACTGTGTCAATCTCTGGAACATCCTGTCTTTGTCCACCTTGTCATTCTCTCAGTATTTTTGTATGTCGTTATTCATGTCCCCCCTATCTCTCTCTGTCCTCCAGTGTCGTCAGGTTGATTTCCCTTAACCTCTCCTCGTAGGACATACCTCTTAGCTCTGGGGACTAGTCTTGTTGCAAACCTTTGCACTTTCTCTAGTTTCTTTACGTGCTTGGCTAGGTGTGGGTTCCAAAACTGGTGCCGCATACTCCAATATGGGCCCTAACGTACACGGTGTACAGGGTCCTGAATGATTCCTTATTAAGATGTCGGAATGCTGTTCTGAGGTTTGCTAGGCGCCCATATGCTGCAGCAGTTATTTGGTTGATGTGCGCTTCAGGAGATGTGCCTGGTGTTATACTCACCCCAAGATCTTTTTCCTTGAGTGAGGTTTGTAGTCTCTGACCCCCTAGACTGTACTCCGTCTGCGGCCTTCTTTGCCCTTCCCCAATCTTCATGACTTTGCACTTGGTGGGATTGAACTCCAGGAGCCAATTGCTGGACCAGGTCTGCAGCCTGTCCAGATCCCTTTGTAGTTCTGCCTGGTCTTCAATCGAGTGAATTCTTCTCATCAACTTCACGTCATCTGCAAACAGGGACACCTCAGAGTATTCCTTCCGTGTGTGTGTTGTGTGTGTGTGTGTGTGTGTGTGTTGTGTTGTGGTGTGTCTGTCTGTCTGTCTTCTGTCTGTCTGTCTCTGTCTCTCTCTCTCTCTGTCTCTGCTGTCTCTCTGTCTCTCTGTCTCTCTGTCTCTCTGTCTCTCTGTCTCTCTGTCTCTCTGTCTCTCTGTCTCTCTGTCTCTCTGTCTCTCTGTCTCTCTGTCTCTGTGTCTCTGTGTCTCTGTGTCTCTGTGTCTCTGTGTGTCTGTCTGTCTGTCTGTCTGTCTGTCTGTGTATCTGGCTGCTTGTCAGTTAAGGGGTTAAATACATTTCTAGTTCTTATTTGATTCGATATCCTAATGCAGTGGATTAATTTTGTCGTCCTTCTCTGTATGTTCCCCAGTGCATTCTGTAGTATGGCAATCAAAACTAGTGATCTATAGAGCTGTACAATAACTTTTGGACTTTTGTTACTTCTTTCAACAAACCGGCTGCATCCCACCGAGGCAGGGTGGCCCAATTTGAAAAACAAAAGTTTCTCTTTTTAACTTTATTAATGTATACAGGAGAAGAGGTTACTAGCCCCTCGCTCCCAGCATGTTAGTCGCCTCTTACGACATGCATGGCTTACGGAGGAAGAATTCTGTTCCACTTCCCTGTGGAGATAGAGGAAATAAACAAGAACAAGAACTTGTAAGGTAATAGAAGAAAACCTAGTGGGGTGTGTGTGTATATATATGTTTGTACATGCATTTGTAGTGTGACCTAAGTGTAAGTAGAAGTAGCAAAATATACCTGAAATCTTGCATGTTTGAGACAAAAAAGGACACCAGCAATCCTACCATCATGTAAAACAATTACAGGCTTCCATTTTACACTCGCTTGGCAGGATGGTAGTACCTCCCTGGCAGTTACTGTCTACCAACTTACTATGTAGGTCTTGTTACTTCTTCTTCTTCTTAATATAAATCCTGTTAATATTTTAGCTTATTGTGTGCACTTTGGCACTGTTGTCTTGGCTTCATATTTGTTTACCATGACTTCCAAGTCTTTTTCACATAATGTATGATTAAGCTCTACATGACCTAGTTTATAACCAAGGGTTATTTTCATTCCCATGACATTAATTTGCCTAAATCCATCCATTAATTTGTCTAACTCGGAATCTATTATTTGGTCTATTTTTATGTCTTCACCAAATTTACCCGTGTTACTCATTATTCTTTCATCAAGGTCAGCGTTATTCATAATTGGATTTGAGGGACCTGCATGGGTTAGTAGGGTTATTGAAACCTAAACCTTGGCTAACTTTAAAAATAGATTAAACAAATATTTGAGTGACAGAGTTAGATTGACTAAATATGGGCCAATAGGCCTGCTACAGTAGATGAGCAAGACATGTGCATCATTGTTGAAATGTTTTGCCTACTCAGTAATCATCTTCAGTCAAATACAGCGATGACTAAATAAATATAGACTGCAGAAGGAGTGGAGAGGTAAAGATGATGTGATCAATCCATCAACCTTGAAATAGGAGTTTTGAGGTGGTCAGTCCTTCAACCTAGAAAAGTGTTTCAACTGAATAATCTTGAATAATGTGAAGGTGAAGCATGAGAACAGAGCCTTGTATGCTGCAAGAGGTGAGGTATGGAGAACAAGAGATATCACAGAAGGCAGGGCCTAGCATAGGCAAGTAGGCCTAATGTAGTGCTCCTCAATTCTCATGTCCTTACTCCTACTTGTGGGCTCCACCTCCTGTGATATGTTAATTTTGTATGCCTCTTGCAATATAAGAAGCTTAGAGCATTCTCATGTCTTCACATTGCATTGTTCAAGGCCATGGATTTGATTTTCTTCCCAAGTTGAAGGGCTGACCACCTCAAAACTATTTCGTGGCTGATGGACTGATCACATCATCTACCTTTCCATTGCTTCTGCTGTTTCCATATTTATTTGGTCTCTAATGTATTCAGTTGACGACACCTACCGTGTAGGTGAAATGTTTCAACAATAAAGGCACTCAACTGTTGCACGTCTCACTCATGTACATGCTGGGATTGTATACAATTATTATAATTATGCCTGTTGCAGCATTCCTATTTTAATTTTCTTAGCTTTTTGTTGTTTTGATAAATTTTTCATATTTTTTGAGGAGGTTTGTGCACATAAGATGGGGGTTATTATTCTGCACTTAGTTATTTAGTTAAAATCTTGATATATGCATAGCAATATATGGCATTTCTACCATGTTTGTTGTAATTGTTCAGTTTCTAACTGCCACCATTATTTCATTGAAGATTTCCTTTTTTTACCCCAGGTTATAGAAGAGCGCTGTCTGAAAACTCCTTTGTATCCTGGGGGAACTTCTGACCCCATTCCTCATCATCCCTTGTATTATCATTCACCCATCATCAAGAATTCTTCCATGGCCCACATGAACTTCAGAGCCCCTTTTGAGGAAAAACCACCAAATTATAGATCACCAGAAATAAGTATTTGTAATTTAGAAGAAATTAAACCATTAAATACCAAGAGCCAAGATGAACAGTGGGATCAAAGGGATGCAGAGAGTCCCCTACCGTCATGAAAACTAAACAAAATACGTACCTTGCAACCACCAAAGACTGTGTTTTGGCTGCAAGTTTGTGAATAAACAGTGAATGTTTCAGTGAGTGGATGTGGAAGTAGTGAAATTGAAAGGAGTTGACATCCACACTTTCATTTTTCTCTTGCTATATTGCAGATAAATGATACAATACCACATAATCAGTGTGGAATGCCATATTTTAATCTAGAATATTAGGCTGTTTTCATAAATATTGTTTGAATGCTTTACAGTATACATAAATAAAAAACAGGTTTATACCGAAAATGTAGAAAATTGCACAAAAAATTACCTGAAGTTGGTCAGTTTTTTATATGCATGTTTATGTAGAGTACAGTATATCTGCAGAGAATTATTATTTTATCAAAAGGCTAAATTCGTACGTGTAATACAGTGCTAGAGAAACTGATGAGACTGTTATTAAAGGATAAGAATTTTTTTTTTTACCATATTGGTTACGAGTGCTAAGAAAGATGTATTCTGTGATTTGTTGCTCAAAGGGGATTAAAAAAACTAATATTTTTAGAACACTATAATGTTGGTAGAGAGCCAAGTAGAGGTTGGTTCAAAATACTTCATGTACACAACTCAACTTTCAAGCAGTATTCATGGCAGTGTTCATTTTCACATGCTAGATTAACTTCATATTGAAAATGGTATTGTTATACCATCAAGATGTGGAGAAAGACCCTCATGTATAGCGAAGGACATATATTAAAGGAAATGTTTTGCCATGATTGGCTTCTTCAGTTCTAATGACTGAAGAAACCACTCCTGGTGAAACATTTCCTTTAATAAATGTCCTGAACTGTACATAAATTTCTTTTTCCATAACTTCATATCATTTGCTGTGATTTTCAACTCAATTAAGCAAGATTGCTTTGTTGAGTCATTTGAGACTTGCTGTCTGTGTATCCTTGGTGCTCTCTTTGTCAACTATGTATTTAGTCATGTAAGAACATGTCAGGCCAGTGTGTCAGTGCAATAGCCAGGTGTCTCATATTACAACCCATACTCCTAAGTCTAAGCCAGTATCTCAGGTACTGCTTTTAGTAAGTTTCTTGATTTATGTTTGGTTGGACTGTTGTCTGTTAATAAAAATTAAACCAGTTCTAATATCCACAATGCCAGTAGATGAAATATTTAATTAAGTCAATAAGAAATTTTGAGGCTTAATTAGAAAATGTGGGACCTATCGAGTGTGTGCTACAACACAGTCAGATGACAACTGCTAAAGGCTCTTGAAGAGTCTCGCATCAAATTGTTTTAGCCACAGCACAGTACTTTGAATAGGAGGATGGGCTGAATATTAACATCAAAGTTAAGTTTTCATACAAAAGTTGGATGACTGTTGCATTAGGCATAATTGCTGAATATAGTAGATCTTCATACTTCTCATATTTTTAAGTGTATCAAAAACTATATAGCCATTGCACTCTAATGTAAATGAATAATGAATGGATTGTGAAAAAAAATTATATATGCTATTTGCTGTTAAGCAGTATTATTTCCTATCCTAGATGTGTTTTTTTTAATGCCAGAAATTAAGTGATGTTTGCTTGAAATAAAAGCAATTTCAGCTTGTTTTATGACTGTACAATCAGATTTATTGTTGCTTTGATGTGAATACACGACAATGGTACTAATTTTCTGGTTATTGCATGTATATACTGTTTTATAGAATAAAAGCCACATATAGGATTACCTGGAAACATAGTCTGTGATATATTTTATTTGCTTTTTCCCATTTTTTATAGTATTCAAATGGTGCTTTGGATGAGAAGCATTGATATCTTCGTGCCTTCCAGAAGAGCTCAGGATTTCTGTTAATCTTTAATTTTTTCTTTTTTATTAAATTTAATTATACTGTACTTTTATATTTTCATTGTTAAAGATCTGTTAAACTTCCTTTACATTTAACAGTTTGAAAAATAACTGCCATATTTAAGAGCACAAAATACATGGCAAGACTCATGAACTCTTATTAAAGATTGTAAGAAGCTCCTGGAACAGATAATTAGAACTGGTGGCAAGCCAGTCCTAAAATTAGAAGGCTTACATTGTAACTGCTACACCATGCTGATCTAAAGCAATCAGCTAGATTATTTCCTTCCACTTGGTGGTGAGCATGGACCCACTGACCACAAATGATATGAGATCTGTCTGTTAAAACTTTTATTTGTGGTCACAGTGGGGTTCATAACCTCAAAGGTGTATGGAGACATGCCTAACTGGCTAACTCTTAATAGGCTGGCATAGTGTAGTGGTTAGAACACTGGCCTGCTAATTTTAGGATTGGCTTGCCTATGGTTTGAATCCTATTTGTCCTGCGAGTTACACTGTGAGAATGGATTTCTAAGGCTTTGTTGGGATTTTAGAGTATTTGAACTTGTGCAGTATGTAGATAACTTAACTTTTTATGGTAAGGCATTTTGGTCCAGGAATATACTGTAACATTTGGGCATGTTCAGTAATTCCAGTGACATTTTAATTTCTCCAATTGCTATCATGCTCCATCAGAATCTGCCATCATATGCTTTTAAAAGTAAAAAGTGAACACTAGTTCCTATTCTCTGCATTCCTTAAGTTTGTGCACAGGTTAATAAGAGAAAACCCAACTTGTACAATTTAAGTTGCTATCTTCAAATTAATCTGGGTCACAGGTGCTTCTCCAAGGCTTATTTTCCAGCATTAATAAATTAAGGAATATGCACTCTTACACAAGGAAGTTCTAGATTGATTGTACTGAAGTTTCAGAACAAAAGATTTTTTATTATAATCAGAACAAGATAAATTTAGGCAAATAAATTACATGGCCAGTATACATTTCAAACACTCATTAAGTATCAAATACCATTAAGTAAAAGAAACTGATCACAAATGAGTTTGTCAATTCTCTGGTAGTGAATGGAGGGGCTCTGCATTTATAGCCCCTCAAGGAAGGTTCCTTGATGTTGGTGAGGGGCTCTTGATTTAGGGAATTGGATCTGTGCTCCAGTTCCCCGAATTAAGCCTGAATGCCTTCCCCATCCCCCCCCCCCCCCAGGCGCTGTATAATCCTCCGGGTTTAGCGCTTCCCCCTTGATTATAATAATAATCTGCATTTATAACATGCTAAAATACCTTACTTTTTTGTTAGTTGCTATAGATTAATCTTCTGAATTGATGAACTGTGTTAAATTCACAAGAAAATGCTAATCAGTTAACTGCTAGGTGTGCTAGAAATTCAATACTGTTAGTATTAAAAACTTTGCAGGAATTTTATAAGAACAAAATGCCTTGTGTGTGTTGTTTTGTAAAGGAAATAAAGTATTTATTACAAACAAGACTTTTTCTTCATGCACCTGTTTTCAATTACAGGTATCCTCTTCAAGGGGGGCTCCTTGGCGTGGTGAAGAGGCTCTTGGTCTGAGGAATTGACCTATCGGTCTTTTTCCTCAGGACCGAACCTTATTACCCCCCAATCTCCCTCTATCCCATCCTCCCCATTCCTTTTTTCCCCTTTTTTTTTTCCATCTCCTCCTCCTCCCCACTCCTCCCTTTTGCCTTCCTCTTTTGTCCTTTGGATTTATCCACAGGCGGCCGCTAGTTCCCTGGTAGGAGAAAGGACACCGGGGTCCATCCCATTCCGTTGAGGTTTCTTGGCGGGTGGGCTAGATTGCCGTGGAAATCTGGATTGCCTAGGGGATGTCCCGATCCCTCTCCGATATCCCGGAGTAGGGCTTTGGGTGTCTTTTGGGCGACGGGTGTAGCTCGGAAGGCAACTTTCGGATTCCGGGGGGTGGTTGCTGAAGGAGGTATGCTTGGTGGCGGAATATACGGCCGGCCCTCTCTTTTGTCCACCGAGGTAGCTCGGCAGATGTGAGGTTGCTATCCCAGATTGCTGGTTTACTGTCATGAAGTGTAGGGTTATGGCACGCGGTTCCATGCTGCATCTGCGCTACTAGCGGTTAGTGTCGAGTCTCTTGGGGCGGAGGGAGATTTCTGGCCCTTTCATCTCCTAGGAAATATCCTCCCCGGGGTCCCCCTTTTTTTTTCTTTTTTTTATTTTTATTTTCTTTTCTTCATTCTTTTTTTGTTTCCTTAAAAAACAAAAGAAAGAAGTAACTAACCATGGGCAGCCCTAGTCATCGAACTGGTACCCCCGGGCCCCTTCTTGATACCGCACCCCGTTCTGGACCCCGCTCGTCTTTGGCACCACTCTTCAGACATTCCTCATGCCTCTGTACCTATTGCCGGTGTGTTTCCTCACGCTTCAGGTACTGAGGCCTCGGACTGACTCCTTCGAATTTATCAGGACCTTCGCTCTTCCTCTGACTATGCTTCCGGCCTCTCCCTCTACGGTGCGGCAATTTCAAATCGCCCGACCCGTTCCACGTCGGACCACTCTGAGTCCCACGCCTAAACGTCAACGCGATTCCTGCTGATGATACTTCTCCACCTTCACCTTCTCGTTTTCTCAGAAACGATCGACACGTCCTTCACTACCTTTCCAGCTCAGTTTCCAGACTGAACAGTGGACTAAATTCTCACTTTACGACCAATTCCTCTACTGCCTATTTTCTGACCATAGTATGGCAAGGCCTCCTTCGCCATGTTGGTAAAGATAATTTCTTTTTCATGCTTTAAAGCGGTTCGCTCATCCATTACCGCTACAGGATGCTACCCAGGCTCGTGGCTCTCTCGTCTTACCATATAGATACTGTTCCTGTCACCCTTGAAAAAAATCATTTCCCCTCCAATTCCTGGTAGTGGTACCGTTTATTCCTGCCCCATACCATAGTTCCAACAAAATTCCAGACATGTGGCACCGACATTCTAGAAACAGCTGGAACTCCAAGATCTCCCAATCTCAGGTAGACACTTACGTTCTTCTGCCCGTGGGCGGAGGGAGACGATACCCTCTAGCAATGTGGCTCGTTTAACTTTTGACAGCCGAGTGAACTCCCATCCTCCGTTTATATAGCAGGACATCGGTTACAGTTCGAAAGGTGATCCCTTACACCACAACAGTGTAGAAATTGCTGAGCGATTTGGCCATCAGCGAAATATTGCAGAATCTATCGCCGATGCCCAGTCTGTGGTGCCGATGACCATTCTAATACGTCTTGCATCGATCTCCCTCTGGCCTTAACTGTCATGAGGCTCACCTTCGTTACTTCGCCGTTGTCAGGTCTATTTAAACGAGCGGGGAAAATCCGTTACCTCAAAGAGGACAGAGGTCTCCCTTATGCCATGGCAGTTTCTCATCTCCGCCTCCAAGGGAGACTCCCACGTGTTTCTTTTTCCCGTGTTTTCAAAAACGACCCCCCACTTCTGGTAATCCCATCTTCTACACCCCAACCTTGTGGTTACCTCTCCATAACACTCCTGTATTCTAATCTTTTGCTGTCTCGGCTCAGACGTCCTTACTTCAACGCCTCAGTCTAATCTCGCTTCTTCGAGTTCTCTCTTACAAGCCTCAGTATCGACGAGACCTCGTACGACACCTCTTCCCAATCGTCCCTCTACTTCTCAAAAGTCAAAAAAGGTCCGGTAAACACCTCCTACCATCTTCCACCTCCTCATTTTACCCTCCCTGTCTCTGTCCCTAGTTCTTCCCTCTCACTGGCTCAGTTACAAGTGCAGAGGTTCACCCTCCTCCTCGTAATGTACCTTCCTCCCCTGTTCCCTCCCAAGTTTCTTCCTCTTCTGCCACCTCCCAGGTTCCTGTCTCTTCTGTCCCCTGCCACGCTTCTCCAGTTCCCTCCACCCTTTCGCCCCCCCCTACCTTGGTACAGTCCAATACAGTTCCAATCTTTACTCATCCTCCCCCTACCATTCCCAATATTGTCTCCCATACGACATCTCTGAATTCCGAAACACTTGAAGCAATCTCTGAATATATTGCAGAGACCAAACCATCAATGGACACTGATCCACCTTCCGCTCTTTCTCTCTCCTCTGCTCCATCTGCGCAACTCCTTTCTTCACAGCGCACCGTTCCTTCGCTGCTTGAACATTTTCCACTGCCTCCGCATGTGGACTTTTCTAACCCTTCTAGTCCGTAGGAACCCTTACCTGCGGATTTCAAGTATCTTTATCATTGCCAATTCATGGCCTTTTTACAGTGGAATATACGCTGGCCTCAGGGGTAATCGGGGTGAGCTTCAGATGTTACTCTCCCAGTTTGCCCCTGTTGGTGTTTGCTTACAGGAACCAAAATTACACTCTGCTGTTATTTCTCACATCTCAGGCTATAATTTATTGTATTCTTCAGATCCTTTTCCTGATGGGACCTTTAATGAAAGTGCCCTTCTTCTCCGCACTGATATTCCGTACCATCAGCTATTTGTTCATACTTCGCTGCATTACACAGCAGCCCGTATCCACTTACATAGGTGGTATACGCTCTGTTCTTTATATCTCTCTCCTTCTCGGGCATTATCTATTCCGGATTTTGCCTTCCTTGTTTCGTCATTACCGCCACCGATTCTGTTACTTGGTGATTTTAATGCCCACCATTTCCTCTGGGGAGGGTCTCACTGTGATTCCCGTGGAATTCAGTTAGAGGCTTTTCTTGCCACCCACCCCCTCCATGTTTTAAATACAGGTACTCACACCCATTTTGATCCTCGGACTCATACTCTCTCTTGCATCGATCTCTCAGTTTGCTCTTCCTCCGCCGCATTAGACTTACTTGGTCTGTTCTCCGGACTTACATGACAGTGATCATTTCCCAATCATTCTTACTTCCCCTTCATATTCGCCACCTCTTCGCACCCCACGCTGGCAATTTAATCGGGCAAATTGGAACCTTTACTCACACCTGACTGTTTTTAAAGAGGTTCCTTCTTCGTCCTCCATCGATGAGCTTTTACACCTCTTCTCGTCCTCCGTTTTCACCGCAGCTTCTCATTCTATACCCCAAACTTCGGGCAGGCATTCTCAGAAATGCGTGCCTTGGTGGTCTCCTGCTTGTGCTCGTGCAGTACGTTTGAAACGCGCTGCATGGGGCAGGTACCGGTACAATAGAACCACAGAGCGACTCCTTGATTTTAAACAGAAGCGTGCGATCGCTCGCCGTGTCATCCGTGACGCTAAACGCACTTGCTGGCGAGATTATGTCTCCACCATCACCTCTGCTTCCTCTATGAGTGCAGTCTGGAAAAAAGTACGAAAACTGAGTGGTAAATATTCTCCTGACCCGGCTCCTGTTCTGCGGGTTGCCGGTGTTGATATAGCAAACCCACTAGATGTTGCCAATGAAATTGGCAATCATCTGGTCCGTATTTCTCAGGGACTCCATCTATGCCCCTCATTTCTTTCCTCAAAGTCTGCCAGAGAGTTAGCACCCTTGGACTTTTCTTCTCTCAGAGAAGAACAGTATAATGTGCCTTTTACACTTCAAGAACTGGAGGCAACACTCTCAGCTTGTCGATCATCGGCAGCTGGGCCCGACGACATTCATATTCGTATGCTACAACATTTACATCAGTCAGCCCTTGCAGTCCTATTACGCCTTTACAATCTTATTTGGTCACAAGGAGTTCTTCCACAGCTGTGGAAATCCGCCATTGTTCTCCCTTTCCGCAAACCAGGCACTACGGGACATGAAACCTCCCACTATCGTCCCATTGCTCTTACCAGTGCAGTTTGCAAAGTAATGGAACGTCTAGTAAATAGACGTTTAGTGTGTGGTATTTAGAGACACACAACAGTCTCTCCACTCGTCAATATGGCTTTCGTAAGGGACGTTCTACCATAGACCCCTTACTGCGCTTGGATACGTATGTTCGTAATGCCTTTGCGAATAACCACTCAGTTATTGCCATATTTTTTGACCTTGAGAAGGCATATGACACAACTTGGAGGTATAATATTTTAGCCAAGCCCACTCCTTAGGCCTTCGAGGCAATCTACCATCCTTCCTTAAGAACTTTTTAACTGACAGGCATTTCCGTGTTCGGGTTAATAATGTGCTCTCCCCGGACTTTATCCAAGCTGAAGGTGTCCCCCAGGGATGTGTTCTGAGCACAACACTTTTTCTCCTTGCTATTAATGATTTGGCCTCTAGTCTTCCATCAAATATTTGGTCATCACTCTATGTTGATGACTTCGCTATTGCCTGTGCAGGCGCTGACTGTCACCTCCTTACAGTTTCTCTCCAGCATGCAGTCGACCGTGTTTCCAATTGGGCCACCACACATGGGTTTAAATTTTCCAGCACTAAAACCCACCAAATCACTTTCACTAGACGCTCTGTCATCTCTGATCATCCTTTGTACCTCTATGGCTCACGTATCCCTGAACGTGATACAGTCAAGTTTCTGGGCCTCCTCTTTGA